TTTTTTTTGGTTATGTTGGTTGAACCTAAAGTTCATTTACATCCATTTATCCATTTATACTTGTAGATATATTTTATTATGTTTGTTGGGCCTAAATTCCATTTATACTTCCATTTACATACTAATTCATTTCAATTAGTTTATCTTGCTTTATATAAAAATAATAATTAATTATAAATAAACAAATAAGAACTATCTGTTATTAATAAGTGAGTTAATGATTAATGATAGATAAACAAATAAGAGCTATTTGTTATTAATAAGTGAATTAATAATTAATTATAGATAAACAAATAAGAATTATTTGTTATTAATAAATGAGTAAATGAAAATAAATTATATTAATATACATGTATAGTAATCATTAATTTTTTTAACTTAAAAAGTTTCTATATTTTAATTTACTTATCTTTTTGATATTCATCGTATTTTTCATATTTGTCATTGACAATGCTTGTTATTATTTGTTCAAATAAAAAAATAAAAATATGATTGCGGCCACTCTTGAAAAAATTGCCTGGGGCCTCCAAATTTCTGGAGACGGCCCTGCCCTTACCACAATAAAAGGTCATCCTGCACTTGGAGTGATCTAGAAAATAGCTTTGGACATTATTATGTTCCAATTGCTCAGCTGAATTTTCATAGCTTAGTTTTCCCTTGAATCAAGTTCATGGGATCTCCATTCAGCAAGGTAGGGTGATCACTATGATAATTCTTTTCATTGTGGATTTTTAAGCTCAATCAATATAGCAATACTTCCAATTGATTTCTATACAATCCTTTAGTCAAACGATCTGCCAAATTTTCTTTAGACTTCACGTAGTCAATGGAAATAATACCATTTGTGATCAATTGGCGAACGGTATTATGTCTACGACAAATATGTCTAGACTTACAGTTATGTATGTTGCTTTGTGCCCTTTCTATAGCAGTTTGGCTATCACAGTAAATCATCACAGGCGGCAAAGGCTTATTGCAACATGAATATCGGATAAAAAGTTTTGAAGCCACTCGGCTTTTTCACCAGCTTTATCTAAAGCAATGAACTCCGATTTCATGTTTGACCGAGCTATACAAGTTTGTTCTGTAGATTTCAACGAAACTGAACCTCCACCAATACAGAAAACAATCCGCTCGTGGAGTGAGAATATCTCGAATCTGATATCCAGTTTGCATCACAATACCCTTCAAGTACAGGTGGGTATCTCGAGTATTTTAGCTTGTATTCAAGGGTGTACTTTAAGTATTTAAGTACCCTTTTCAAAGCATTTAAGTGTTCTTGACTAGGATTGCTTGTAAATATGCTCAACTTAGTCACTGGATAGGCCAAGTCTGGTCCTGTACAGTTCGTTAAGTGCATCAGACTCCCTCTTATCCGTGAATATTCCAACTGAGCTACTGGTTGACCTTTATTGGCTACCAGATTTATGCTGAGATCAAGGAGTGTCTTGCATATTAGACCATCATATGCATTAAATTTCTAGAGCACCTTTTCGACGTAGTGAGATTGTGACAAGACAATTCCATCTTAGGTTTTGATAATCCTTATTACAAGAATAACATCAGCTAAACTCATATCTTTCATGTCGAAATTTCTCTTCAACATTCTTTTCGTATCCATGATCACTTCATGGCTACACCCCATGATCAACATATCGTCTACATATAGACATATAATTACAAATGTATTTGATGTACGCTTAACATAAACACATTTGTCACATTCATTGATTTTGAAATCATTTGACAACATCATGTCATCAAATTTTAAAGGTCATTGTTTCGGAGATTGTTTCAGTCAGTACAAGGATATGATCAATCTGCACACATTTTTCTCTTGTCAAAGTGCTACAAACCCTTCGGGTTGTTCCATGTAAACTTCATCTACCAATTCACCTTTCAAAAATTTCGTCTTAACACCCATTTGTGCAAAGCAACAATCGAGAGAAGCACTCCTATTGACGCTAAACGCATAACTGGTGAATAGGTATCAAAGAATTCATATCCTTCTTTTTGTTTAAATCCTTAGACCACCAATCGTGCTTTAAACTTATCAATCGTTCCATCAACTTTTTATTTCCTCTTTAAGTTCCACTTACATCCTAAAGGTTTACAACCCTCAGGGAGATCAACCAACTCCCAAATATTATTTTGCATAATGGACTCGATTTCGCTATTTATAGCTTCTTCCTAGAGTGGTCCATTTGGGTTAGACAGAACTTCCTTAATGAAACTTGATTCATCATCCAACATGTACGTAATAAAATTAGGTCCAAGCGTTTTTGTCGTTTTTACCCTTTTACTACGTCTCGGTTCTTCGTCTTTTTCTTCAGTACCATCTGATACAGAACCGCTAACAGTTTCATAGGTTCTTTTATTATAACTATATTCTTCTCCTTCTTTCGGAGAAAAAATTTTCTCAAATAATATATCATTCCTCGACTCAATTAGTACCAACAAATACATCTGGATTTTTTGATTTAAGAACCAGAAATATATTTGTTATACTATTGTACGCATAACCAATGAATATACAATCGACCGTCTTTGGTCTGATTCTCATTTATTTGGGTTCAGGTACTGAAACTTTAGCCAAACACTCCACACTTTCAGGTATTTATAAGACGGCTAACGATTTTTCCACATTTCGCAAGAAGTCTCATTTTTCCATGTAGATGGCATTTTATTTAGGATATGATTTGCTGTTAAAACAAATTCCCCCCACATGTTTTGGGGTAGTCCCGAATTTATCAACATGACATTCATCATTTCTTTTAAGGTTCGGTTTTTGCGTTCAACAACACCATTCAACTGTGGAGAATAGGGGACTGTCGTTTGATGATTTATGTCATATTCAGAACATATTTGTTCAAAATGAGCTACATACTCCCCAATCTTTTCACTTCAGATTATTTTAATCCTTTTGTCGAGTTGATTTTCAACGTCTGTCCTATAGTTTTTAAACTCTTACATAATCTCGTCTTTGCTTCTTAACAAATATAAGTAGCAAAACCTTGTGCAATCATCGATAAAGTCAAAGTACTTTTTACCCGTTCTTGTATGCACAATTTTCAAATCACATACATCAGTATGGATTAAGCCTAATGGTTCAGTACTCCTTTTCGCCGAGTGAAAAGGTAACTTAGCTATTTTGATTTCAACACAAATTTCACATTTTTTATGTGATTCAATTTTCAAATAGGAATTAATTCTAATTCACCAACCATTTAATTGCATTTAGGTTTACATGTCTCAATCTAATAAGCCATAAATCAGAGCATTCAACGGTATAAAAAGAAATAGGTTTTTCATTCTCATTGAAAACGGTTACACGGATCACGTCATTATATTCATTTGAACAAACCCTTTTCGAGATAGCCACGACCAAGGAATGTTCCAAACTTGCTAAGAACAAACTTCTTAGCATCAAACACTAGCCTAAATCTAATGCTCAACAAAAAGAGATGCGGAGACCAAATTCTTGCTGCTATCAGGGACATGCATAACATTCTTAAGCTTCAACTCATTTCCAGAAGTTAGCTTCAGCACCACTGTTCCAACTCGAGCCACATCAGACGTGAAAGAGTTTCCTATGTGAAGTTTCCGACCAGTAAGAGTGTAACCAGAAAATAACACCTTGTCGGAACACACATGGCATGTGACACCAGTATAGATGTACCACTCCTTGGGTTATCCACCATATTGGCTTCAAACACTACAACCGAATTATCAAAGTCGGTCAGTTCACCCTGCCCAGGGTCGTGTTCAGCAACGAGGGCACTCAGTTGCGCCTTCTTTTGCCCAACCTTCTTAGGCTTCCTGCAATCCTTACTCATATGGTTCGTCTTTCCACAGTTGTAGCAGGTTCCGGTAAACTTACAAACCTTAGCAGGCTGCTTCCCCTTGTTGAGGGACTTCCTCTTGCTCGAGTTGCATTGCTCCAGCAAGTTAGCACGAGCCTCTATCATTGGGGTTTTT